TAAGTCGTGGGTAGGTCAGGTGGCGTAATTGAACTGGGATTAAGTTAAGGGATGTTTTATCTCCTGCGTAATTCAAGAGGTATGAGCGAGCGAGTCATGAGGATACCAATATGAATCTCCCGACCAAGCTCCCCACCGATTTCAATACCACCCAGTCAATGAAGGATTCTCAGGGACTACTTCTATGGAATAATCCCGATATGTGCAGGACTATTGGACATGAGCCAAACCCCCATCGCTTTCCATTCACGGAACGGCCTAAACTCTATTTGCCCTGATCCTTGGAAAATGTGCTGATAAAACGCAAAGTGCAGAAACATCTACGTAATGCTTTCGTGGGGACCGAAGAACAAGAAGAGTGCACGATTCTGCAAAGCCATTTGGCCAACTGGGCTGTCATAAGAACGGTCCGTGAACTTTCTCATGGAACGTCGGAGCGGTCGCCAAAGACCGTTGATGAAGTGCCGATTCAGCTCATAAAGTGATCTTTGAAAAGGTTACGACCTGTTCTAGAAGTGCTTGGGAAGGGTTTGCCCTTGATCACTGGACCATTCAACGAGAACAAAGGCAGTCTTGTTAGCATTTTTGAAGCCACCGCGCAGGTACGGTCTGGGTTATGAGGAAGGGAATGGTCCCTGGGAGCGATCTCCGAAAGAGAATGACGCTCAGTTTGGTTTGGGGTGGGCATTTTGTAATTTCCCTACTTCCTATAGTCATTTTCATTACTTTACAAGAAATGACAAGCAGTCTACAAAACTTGACCGGTATTACTTTATGGCTTCACAAGGTCTCACAAACCTTTACTTGATGGCTGGACACGGCTATGGGAAGAATCGAAGGCCCCCGCTCCCCTCCCCCCCCAAGCCGAACTGCCCCGAGAACGGGATCATGATGGTGATCGGAATCGTTCAGAACAAATGGACGACGTGACCTATTCCAGAAAGATTTTTCCATACTAACAACAGGGTCATTAATGGAAATTACATGATAATATGAGCATTCTGGTGAATTTGAAATAATTCTCATTAACATTTATGGATTAGGGCAAAATTAGCATTTTCCAGAAAATTATTGCTTGCAAATGGTTAACCCTCCTCCGCAAAATCCACCCTGAAAAATTCTCAAAAAATAGATCATGAATTCACTAGAAACCTCTGCA